AACAAAGGGTGTATTATATTCCGACAAAACAACTAGATATCATAAGAGAGTTATTGGAAGGGTGTAGTAGTAATAAAGTGTAATTTTGTATCAAGAAATTAAAGTAATTTAGCTCGACCGGGAATTACATGTTAGGGTTCACAATTTAATCTCAAGTTGATGAAGGAATTTTGGACACTGTAATTTTGTGGCACGACGTGTAACGTTGGACACTAATCTAGTTTTAAATCAAAATTTTGATCGTTTATAGTATAAAAACAACTTGAATTCTATTCCAAAACCAGAAATAGTGTCTAGATGATTCAATTCTAGATGTTTTTCTTTCAAGAAATTGAATATTATTATTTAGAATTGTTTTAATGTGTTGAAAACTAGATCTGTTGTACATAGATGTTGATGGAGTAATAGGACTAGGCTCAGAGCCTAATCAGCCCAAGCCCCGAACTTGGACCCGTGGATCCAAGTCCATAACCTAGAGCCTGCCTGCCAACCCAGCGGGAAGCCTGCCAGTCCGACCGACCTCCCAGCCCGGAAGAGTAACGGTCAAGCAATTAATGCACTATTAATTATGTATTTAATTCTTTATTAATGTTGTAATTAGTTAGTCATTATTATCGGTAGCGGTTACGATTCGTATACGTCTATAAAAGGCGTGTTGTAATTCAGATTAGGGGAGACGACTTCTATATGCTATTTCTGGCTAACTTTCCATATTCGTACTTTCCTAATTCTTGCTTGAGTGTCGTACGTAGCTTTCCTAAAAGCCTACGAGCGTCCTATTTTGGACCAACATTGGTGCTTTCATTGAGAGCCTCTATTGTCTCTCACATAACTTGAGTAGGAAAAACCGAAAAACAGAAAATTTCAAAAAAAAAAGGGTGGAAAAAGATCGAAGGTTTTTGTAAATTTTTCAGATCCCTTCGAAAACTGATTCTAGATATGGAGTTTTCCCAAAAAAGCTAGCAACAATCTGAGATGGAGCCAGAAGGATTTTGGTTTTGATATTCCGACTCATCCCTCAGGAATCAGTCACTCAATTTCTTCTGATTTGTACTCCTTGGGAAACTGAGCGTGGCATCTCCGCCATTAATGGCCGCTGGCAAGGAGAAAACCTCAAACCCATCGACGTTCAAGATCGGAAGCTTCTAGTCTCCGTTCGTAGGCCGCCTTCACTTCCATCTCAGTACTGTTCCTCCGCTCGCCTAGGGCTGTATTGACTCGGCGAATCAACCTAGGTCCGCACCAGCCAATTTTGGGGTGGAGATCGATGCTGCAACGACGAGTAGCTCCGACGCAAACCTGCGGATGCCCTCCAGGTGTGTCTCCTCGGTTTGCGAACCATGGCCCTGGATGACTGGGGAAGCATGGCAGCTGATTGAGGCGCAAGGTAGCAAGGATGAGAAGCCTTCCACTAGTGAGAGAAACCGACACTTTAAAGCATCTGGCGTTGGACGAGATACTCCAATATGACAACAAGCCGGTCGCGGCTCCTACATCGGGGATGATGGTGAGGCTCCTCCTCCCTCTATTGCGGCAGCAAGGATAGATGATATCTCCCCTCCCCTCGGGAGCCCATCTCTTCGGATATCATCAACAATATGTTTGCCAGCGTCTTACCAATTTGGATGGGTCCAAGGAAATCAGAAGAATACTATCTATCCATTCAACCAATCAACAAATGGCCTAAATAAGAGCTAAGTATCCAAAAATCCTCTATATTTGATACAAAAAGAAAACATTTACCGGAAAAAAAAAATATACTACGTATCATAAATTGAAACATTTGAAAAGATATTTTAAGTGGTGTAATTGCTTTAACTCTTGTTGAGCGTGTGTAATTTTAACATTGAAAAACGGACTTATGAAATCCGATCACTCACATACACCGGACGAGCACACACACTCGTACAATGGCCGAGCACACACACTCGCGCCAGCGGGTCATGTCATATGGGTGTGGCGATTAATAAGCTCCAATATAAATGTTAATACCTCACACTCTTGACTTCTTATGGGTTCTTGTGTGCTCTTACCTCTTCCTAGTGCATCACACTCCGACCTCGGGGGACGAGTCATCCGTTCAAAAGTCTTTACTTGCGGGTTCGAACTACTAACCTCGGGCGGCGAGTTAAACTCTTGTTAGGGGCCTAGAGCCACGCTTTTCCGAGCAATTTTGTCACTTAATTGACGTTCACATTTCTCGAAGAGGTTGATATACTTTAGTTCTCTGGGGTTGGATTATCCGTTCGAGTGAGGAGTCCGCCTCACTTACTCGCGGATTCAATCTTTCTTTCGGAGACTGGGTTAAGGCCTAACTTGGGAACTTGATGTCACTCTTTTCAAGTAGTGAGTCCGACTCGCTTACATACTGAGCTGTGGTTTGACACCAGGCCAGATGCTCTATTCTACACTAGTTTCTTTTATGTGTAGGTACAACTGAATGAAGTGGGGGACTGAGGGTCTTACCATCTTCAAGGAAGCAAATGACGAACCTGACGAGTCTGAGCTCAACGAGAAGAACAGTTCTAGTCATCCTATTCGCAGATGGCGACCATTACAATAAAGGCTGAGGATCTCACCTCTTGCTTCATCTTGGGGGCGTCAGATGTACTCTTTTTCCCTTCATTAGGATTTTTCCCCATTGGGTTTTTTCCTAATGAAGGTTTTTAATGAGGCATCTCCCCAACATGGACAAGGGCGAGGATCTTCTAGTCTCGGAGAAGAGCAACTGACTTGGACTACTCCCTCTTAGTCGAGTCTACTACTCGACTAAGGGAGTGGGGGACTCGTGATGGAGTAATAGGACTAGGCCCAGAGCCTAATCAGCCCAAGCCCCGAACTTGGACCCGTGGATCCAAGTCCATAACCTAGAGCCTGCCTGCCAACCCAGCGGGAAGCCTGCCAGTCCGACCGACCTCCCAGCCCGGAAGAGTAACGGTCAAGCAATTAATGCACTATTAATTATGTATTTAATTCTTTATTAATGTTGTAATTAGTTAGTCATTATTATCGGTAGCGGTTACGATTCGTATACGTCTATAAAAGGCGTGTTGTAATTCAGATTAGGGGAGACGACTTCTATATGCTATTTCTGGCTAACTTTCCATATTCGTACTTTCCTAATTCTTGCTTGAGTGTCGTACGTAGCTTTCCTAAAAGCCTACGAGCGTCCTATTTTGGACCAACAGATGTAAATCCTTTGAAACTGACACTGAATAACTTTGTTTTATTTAGAAAAATTTTCTACACATTGAATATATTACTCTCACACCGACCCAACCCCTGTTCGTCCATACAGTAGTGCCTCCACTTGAGAAAAGTTTCAGGTCCGTCACCGAATAAACTTACGACGTTCTCATTAGTGTTAGTTTTTTCTTTTTTTACTATCGTATTTTAAACGATACAAAACGTATGTTTCATACACTCGAGTGAATAAAGGTTCACTTTTTAAATAATTTTGAGCTCCTCTAATAAAAATACGAGTAAAAAACTTAGAGCCGGGTAATAATCAACTGTATTGGTTGATTCTGCTGAAATTTATTTAGTTACGGTTGAAGTGGCTTTATTGGCTGATTCCGATGATTTGTTGAAAAAATATTTAAAATATACTCCGTATGTTAGTAATAAAATACAGAAAAAATTATTTGAAAAAAACTAAATTGATCTTCTATAGTAACATCAACCAATAGAAAAGTAACTTTAACCTCACTTCAGCGCGCAAAACCAAAAGTTACGTATTTGATGAAAAATTTGGCCCGATAAACCTGAAAAGCCAAAAATCATTGAGTTAATTATCAAAATAGGACTAAAAGTCATTCACGTTTCACAAATAGGACCAAAAAATAAACTATGTTTGCATAGGACTAATTATGTGTACCTTGGACAATTATACCCTTATAGTTATTAAAATGTTTTAATTCCTAATAAAATAATAAAAAATAATAAAAATTCGTAAAAAATACTAAAAAATTAAGAAAAACATTTCGATATTAAAAATTTAATTAATTTTTTTTTTCAAAAAATTAAAAAAATTAAAAACAAAATAAAAACTCAAAATAAAAAATCGCCGCCGCCTCTGCCGCCTCAGCACCACCACCTCCAGTCACCAGGGAAAAAAAATGCCAAGTTCATTACGAATGCCATATTTATGGCAGAAAAAAATGAAAATGTTGGCATTCGAAAAGAGAAATATGCCACTTTTTTGGCATTTTCAGAAAAAATGGCATTTTTCTGGGAAAATGGCATTTTTTTCATCGGCCGGAGGTGGTGGTGCTGGGAGGTAGTACAGGCGGTGGGAAAGGCATCCATATTTTTTTAAATTTTTTTTACGGAGTTTTACTATTTTTTATTAATTTTTTTAAAAATAAAATTATTTTAAAAAAAAGTTTTTGAATTTTTTATTTTATAAAAATTTTATAAATTTTTTAATTATATTTCTACGAATTTTTGAATTTTTTTCGAATTTATTATGAATTAAACATTTAATTATGACTTTTGACTATTTTTAATTCACATTTAATGGAAGGGTAAGAATGGAATGCAAAAATAGGTATGTTTCCAATAGAACTCATATGGTCCTATTTTGGAATAAAAATATAGCAAATCCTATTTTAGGTTTTTGCCGTAGTTTTAGTCCTATTTGAACTAATTTCTAAAAATCATTCTTACAGAGCTGGCGCTTAAAGTAACAGATTCGACACTCTTTAAAATAATAAACAGATTCGACAATCTATATATCCGACTTATTAATTTATGCACGGAGTATCATTTTTATAAAAATATTATTAACCCCATCCCACAAACATTAGAAGGTGAAACATTTATTAAAAAAATGACTAACATGAATCAATACATGATATCACAACCAAAAGGAAAAGAAGGAATAAAGATAAAAAGATAAATTATTGAATTGATAAAATAAAAAAAACGATTTCACTTGTTATACTTAATCTTATAATCAAAAAGTAAGATACAATATAAATTTTTGATTGAATTGACTCAAAGCGGTGGAATTTATAGTTATTATTAATATAATTTCATCGATTCATCAATTTCAGTCCGCAACTCTGCAAGAACTCAACTACAATGTCAGCTTGATCCAACGTTAATGAGAATTTGTTTTTGGTAGTTAGTAACCAGAAAACAATACCAAGACGTAGCTTAAAACTTTAAAAGGTTGCCTAAAACCGTTTATTATGTTATGGAATCACTAATACATTAGCTATAACGTACTAAACATTAAATTAAAATAACATAACGATCTGTGACTGATAAAATAAAGTTAAAAAAGGACTCAAAACAACCCAACGACCTAAGCAATCGATTTCTTTCTATAGAAGTCAGAAACCCGTTTCCCGGGCAAAAGAAGCAGCTCTTCGATCTTGCTTGTGCAACACCCTAACACAGTAATGGAGGAAGATCTAATAGTGCTGCCTCGCAGCGGTGTTTTTCAAGACCACCTGCCGGAGCTCAACCGCATCAACCTCCGTCACGTGACTCTCCGGCCGGTAGTAGCCGGTTACTGGATCTGGAATCCAAGCGGTGGCGTTCTTCCCCGATTCCTCTGTTCCTCTCTTCAGCATCACCTTACTCCTCGCCACGTTTACTCCACCAGCCGTTGCCTGAGCCGCCGCAGCATATGTCCTAATTCATTTGAATGAAATTTATTACTCATCAGTCATCACAAATTAACTTCCGAACCGAATGAATAAAAATTGAAAATCTTAAAAAAGTCGATTAAACTCTGATGAAATTGATTTTTTATATCCAAACTCACAAAACCAGTCAAACTATCGTAACTTTTGGCTGAACTATTAAGATGAAACATGAAGCTTTTATAAGCTGGATCTAAGAAATTCAATTGGAATACCTGCTCAAAGGAACAGAGACTCTTTCAGAAATGAAAGCAGAGACGAGTTTGGCGTTGGAGATAGAACGAGCCATCTGGTCTGGTCTTACTGGATGAGAAAGAAGGAATGGTTTATGCCGCGCCGCCGTGAACGGAGGATGGGATGAGCTTTTACTTTCTTCCGCTGCGGCCGCGGAGAAATGGAACCGGTTTTTAATTTTTAAATCTGTGGTTTTTGGCGTTAGGGTTGGATGAGTTAGGATTCTGAGGAAATAAACGACCATTTAAATAGGCGTTGAGAGCGTGTACAGCTCGGACACGTTCAGTTAAATTGCTAAATCAATCAATCAATATCAATGACCAATAATTATATTATTACTTCAACCCCGATAAAGATTTGTGCGGAGGAGAAGAAAATTGTCAAAGTCCAATGGGACGGAAGGAGTAAGTATAGTTCGACTAAGAGGGTGTTTGGCAAACTGTTTTTTGTCTTGTCAGACTTATCAGTCCACATTTTCATCACACACGTAATTTTTGCTTTCGCGCGTTAAATTGTGTAATTAACATAAAAAGTAAGGTTAGAGTTACTTTTCTGGCTGTATTTGCTGAAGTCACAGTAGATGACCATTTTAGCTATTTTTACATATACTCTCTTCGTCCCGTAAAGAAGTTCCTAGTTTGATCTACACACGTATTTATGTAAGATAGAGTTTTGTTTTGACTTTCCAAGTATACCGTTACTTTATGTCAAATCAAACAAAAAGTGGGTAAAAAGTAAGGGAAGATGTGACTTCTTGGTTAAAAGTGGTTTCCTTTTATAGAAATGAGAACTTCTTTTTGGGACATCCATAAAAGGAAAGTGAGAACTTCTTTGCGGGACGGATGTAGTAAATTTTTTATTTTATTAATAAAATATATTTTAAAATTAATTTTTTCTTAAATCAGCAGTAAATGCAGCCACTTCGGCCAGAACTTCATAAATTTCAGCAGAATCAGCCAAATCAACCAATTTTTTTGCTACCAAACAGGCTATAAATGTTTATTTCTATAAATAAATATTTTCGAATCTAAACTAATCAGGGCTTTGTTCCTGATTTCTCTCGTGTTTGTCTATCCAAAATAGTGTTGGTGTTTGTGTTGTAGAAAAGAAAAATATTCCCCTTACATGTGTAGTGATATTCTGTCTCAATTTTATGTTCTCAAAAAATGTTCATCTTTATCAACTTATCTTTATTATCCAATTTTATAAGACAATTTTTTATTATACTTGAAATTGATTTTTTTACTCAATATGGATAATAACTTAGTTCTTGAATATGTAAATGATGATTTTTAAAGATGTTTAGCAGCACTCAAATTGATTGAATTTGTTGAAATTGATACAATTCTAACTAAGGAGGTTTAATTGAACTTGTAGAATTATGGAAAATTATATTCAAAATTTAGTTTGTTGATAAATAAAGAAAAAAATGAAAATAGCTAAAATGATGATCTATAATAATTTCAGTTAATTCAGTAAGAAAAATGACGTCAACATTATTAAATAGAATGATTTTAATTAGAATAGAAATTTTCTAGTTTGATCTGATTTGATCTGATCTGGTTTGAATTTGTCTTGTCTGGTTTAGTAGATGTCTGGTCTCTATGTATTTATAATTATTCAAGTATGGTCTGATTTGGTCCGATCTGATTGGGGACTAAATGCAATCCAAGTAAAAACATCTGTTAAAACTTGTGATTTCATCCCAAAAGGTCAATCTGATAAAAGGAGTTTCTCATATCTTAATATAGTGTTTAATTATTTCAGAAATATCAAGACTTTAACAACATCTAGTCATTGTATCTAAAATATGTATATGTTCAAGTTAATTAACGTGCAAAAATCGAGATGATGTTTTTTATATCAATAATTAAATTGACATTTTTAATTTTTAATGCTAATTCAGATGAGATTGTATACACTGCTATTTCTCCCTCAGTCAATATGTCAATTAAATGTTGGGTCAATAATTTTCAGGAAATTGTATTTCTATTTTTGCACACCCACAATTCAACCTCTTTAATGATATTCCCATCATTTTCTGAAGACTAGGTGGGAGAAGAAACAGAGCAGCAATTTCGTGGCATAGAGCGGAGTCAACGCGTCGTCTGACCAGTGGAGGACTTGGGCGGCCACCTTCCCCGCTTAAAGCTTTACCAGCTCACATACTCGTCGCACACGATTCTTACTTCGTCCGCACCTCATTTCAAAACGTGACTTTAATTTTCCAAAAGCAAAACTTTATACAATTATAAGGTTGTAAAATCACGGAAATGACAAACTTCAAATATTCATTTTTGTTTAATTTGAAGAGATGACTCATATTGATGTTGCCGCCAAATCTGTAGACTCGTTCATTAAGTAAGTCATCATCAAGCTCAAACAATATAAATAAGAGCTTGATGAGGGTCTTTTAAACTTATTCAGAAATTTTCAGATTAAGAAAAAGTAATTCAAAGCTTATTATTGTATCTATCTCATAAGTTTATGCTGCATCTTTTTCATTTCACAACACGTTATCGGCACAAATCAGTTCAAACTCTTTAAGAAATCAACATCTCCTGCAGATATGGATTATTCAAATGATAGATAGCTATGTCTGATACACAACACCACAACACACACCATTTTGAGAAATAAAATATATTTTTTCTCAAGTCAATAAAATAACTTAAGTGAAGCTAAAGTCAATACAATGTATAATGTTGCGAAACTCATTAAATGTTCTGGGAAAGCATATGTGATACTCCATAATGGGACCAAAATTATTATAAATGACGTTTTATACTCAATAAATCATGGAGAAATTGATTGAGTTTTAAAGATATGCGTCAAAATGGTTATCGCATAGAAATCATGAATGAAAATCAAAAGGAATATTTTTGTCTTACGACAACTAATTCTGGCACTAAATATATTTGTGGAAAAAATGTTAGCGTATTCTTAAGGACTATATTTTACATATATTAGTTCATTTGAATTAAATTTGGTATCTCCTGGATGCAGACATTTAGGTATTTGCCCCGCAATCGATCTCTTCCTCTATTTCTTTCACTCTGTTCGCCCTGGTGGTTCTGAGTCCCAAGGGTACCTCTCGATTTTCCAACGAGCAAGCCATCGTTTATTTGAGGCCAAGTCTTATCCCGACTCCTTCAAGGGTTGGAGGCAGAAGTGGATATGGGTCACCCCTGCATTTTGAGAATAGGTGGGGGGAGATATTCGGAAATGGACCATGCCTTTTATGTCAGAGGGCAATGCGGAGGTCGCCAAGCTGATCGCCGATGATGCACCATTTCTTATGGGCCATTACGTAGGTGAGGACCAGGTGGTTGTGCTTACCTTTTCGCCAGGTCGACTTTGTCTGAGTTGGCATCTTTTTTGAATTTTTTACTTTCTGGATACCCTCTTTCTGACTTGATCTGTGTTCGTTGCAGCGGGTGAGAAGATGGCCTCCCGGTTGGAACGACTTGCGGCAAAGGCTGGTGTCACTCCTGGTTCCTTAATCCCTGTCAGGAAGATCCAGACCCGGGGAAGTGCTGGGGCTGCCCCGGAGAAGTCAGGTGGATCCGCACCCCAGGGATAGCGCCGGGCCTTTGAATACGCTGGTCGTTGACCCTCAGCCCCCCAGTGATAATGGGACTGGGAAGAGGCTGGCACTCCGTCCTATCTCCAGGCCCCGGAAGAAAGGAAAAGTTGTTGTTAAGTCTTCTGAAGATGTTGTCGATGTGGATTCCGACTCGGATGCTCAGTCTCAGGGGGGTGGTGCCCTGGGGAAACCCTGGGGCACGTCCATTCTGTTCGCCTCTCCATGAAATCCCGCTCTGCCTCTCTGTTCCGTTGCACCGTGAACCCAGTGTTGCTGGGTCTGGCCATCACTCCTCCCCTTGAAAAAGAGAAGATTCGGGGTTTGTTTCCCCGGACAGCCATCTGACGTGCCGTCCACTCTCTTTCTGAGGTGTGCTTCGCTGCCTCTATAGCTGCTTTATATTCTTCTAACTTGCCTTTGCTTATAATTTTGGTCTTGTTGTCTCAAAGCTTTTATCTTGGCTTCCTCAGGCTCCCGTCTCCTAGATGAGGGGCAGGATGACGCTCAAACCCTAATGGCCGGCCTTAAGGAACAAACTGCTGATCTGGAGAAGAGGCTGGGAGCGGCGGTGCAGAGGGGTGAGACGCTACAGAAAAGGTTGAGCGATGTCGAGGCTGCGCACCGTGTGGTGGAGGAGGACTTGGGCGGCCACCTTCCCCGCTTAAAGCTTTGCCAGCTCACATACTCGTCGCACGCGATTCTTACTTCGTTGACATCTCATTTCAAAACGTGACTTTAATTTTCCAAAAGCAAAACTTTATACGGTTGTAAAATCACGGAAATGACAAGCTTACCCATGGGCGTAGCTCAACTGGTAGCAAGGGAGTGCCACAAGGATTAGGTTCCGAGTTCGAATCCCGGCAACTGCGATGAGGGGTTACTATGCTAAAAATGCATAGGGCCTCTGCAAGGGGACATAGTCTCACTCTCTATCTGTCAGATTGAGATTATAGTCCAATTACATCCTCCCAACGTATCGTCCGGTCAGGGTTGGGGGGGCCTCGGGGATGGGGTGTCATCCTTTTTTTACGGAAATGACAAGCTTGAAATATTCATTTTTGGCATAATCCATAAATTATATTTAATTCTCTTAACCTAGGTAGAACAGATGGCTCATATTGATGTTGCCACCAAATCTGTGGACTCATCCATTAAGTGAGTCATCATCAAGCTCAAACAATATAAATAAGAGCTTGATGAGATCTTGTAAACTTATTCAGAAATTTTCAGATTAAGAAAAAGTAATTCAAAGTTTATTATTATATCTATCTCATAAGTTTATGATGTACTCCCTCCGTCCCTTAAAGGGTTGCCATGTTTGACCGGCACGTAGAATAATAAAGTAAAAACTGTGTGGTAGAAATTTGTGCAGAGGAGAGAGAAATAACAGGAGCCACAAATTGATCGATTAAAATGGAAAATGGCAAAGTTTTTGGGACAACCAAAAAAAGAAAGTTGGCAAAGTTATAAGGGACAGAGGGAGTATCTTTTTCATTTCACAACACGTTATCAGCACAAATCAGTTCAAACTCTTTAAGAAATCATCATCTCCTGCAGATATGGATCACTCAAATGATAGAGAGCTATGTCTGATAGACAGCACCACAATGCACACCATTTTGAGAAATAAAAAATATTTTTCTCAAGTCAATAAAATAACTTTAGTGAAGCTAAAGTCAA